TTTTTTATTTTTTATTTTTTAATGCAAATAATCAATAACTAAAATATTTTTTCAAATCATTAATTTTAAAATTGTTTTAAACTCACCATAACTCCCCTCATTAGAAAATTAACAAGGTTTTATCAGAAATTTAAAGCTTGATAATTTTAAATTAGTAATTTATAAATAAAAATAACTGTAATTTTATACTTATTTAAAAATATATATTAACATTATATATATATATATATATATATATATATATATATATATATATATATATATATATATATATATATATATATATATATATATATATATATATATATATATATATATATATATATATATATATATATATATATATAAATTTTGATATTTAAAATAACGTTTAAAATTGCTAACCCCACCCTAGGCCACCAAATTTTTTTTTAGAAAAATTTGTAAATTAAATTAAATAAATTATTTCAAATAAAAAAATTAATTACAATATATTTAGAACGTGATATTTAATAAAATTAATTTAATTATTAAATTCACGAGCAATTTACAATACAATTTTTGAAATTTATAATAAAAAAAATTTCTGAACATTTATCATTGAAATACGTTTTGATTTTGTTTTTTGATTTTGTTTTGTTTTTTTGACCTCAAAAAATGTCGTATACTGAGTTTAGAAAAATTATAAGTCAAAATAATTTAGAAAACGCTATCGAAGGGTAATATTTAAATAAAAAAATTTGATTAATTTTCTATATAAAAAAATTAATATATGTTTTGTTTTCATTTCAAATAATCAAATAATATTAGACAAGACTATTTTAAGATACAATGCACTGAATTGGATGGCATAAATAATGTAATATCCTATTTAAACTCTTTGACTAAGCCAGACAATAGCATATTTATAAGCCCTAGACTGATTGGATGTCCATTGTCCCAATTCCATCAAAATTTCATTAAAGCACATCCGTTATATGCCAATAATTTTATCCAAAAGACAAATCGTTCCCTAATAAGGAATATAATAAATATTAATAAATCAATAATAACGATCTTCTTAGTGATTTCCCAAAGAAAATGGACGGAAAGGATTGGAAAAGGACAAAGAGATCTGTCTATAATCACAAATCTCGGCTCTCATGCCTCTCTATTTATCAGTGTGAAGACTTGTTCTACCAGAAAATGTAATATTTTTTTAAATATTTTTTTTTGTTTTAATCTTAATCTTAATTTATTTTTTTCATATTTGTCATTTATTAATTTACACATATGTAGACTACTTTTTCGATCCATTGAAGCCAGAGTTAGTCGATTGTTTGAGACCTCATGAAACCATTCTTGTTTCTATTCTACCCAATTGTCAAAATATTAATTTAGTTTTTGGTGGACAATCCGACAAAGATTATGACTGTATTTTTCGATGTTTCACAAAAATTTTTGAAATTATAATTAATAATAAGTTTATTGTTTGTTCACCAGTAATTGAATTCAATGTTCGTACACGCAGAAGTATGTAAATAATTTTTTAAACAATTTAAACAAATCTAATTTTATGTAATTAAATTATTTCAGCAAAAACTTGTATCACTCATATTGTCGACAATAATATCGCTCCTTCATTAAACCAATTGGTTCCGACAAACATCATGAGATATATGGGCTTACGTGTAACAAATGTCGTAACAACAAGCAAACAAATAATACGAAGATTTTTCGATATTTATGGCCATATATTATCTCTAACACAAATCTTAAGTGTCGACAACACTATTATAATCAGTTTCGACAATTTGGTCTCACCTTTACATGCAATTTCAGACCTACAGGGCGTGTATTCTTCAGATATCCGTTGTAGAGATAAAAATGGTGAACTAATGGTTTTGAAAATTTATTTATGCCCGTCAACTAATCAACCCGAACTCAAGTTTTATGTCCCCAAACAGGAATATGTCGCAACCAATGAATGCCTCAATTGGAGAAAAACAGGCTGCAACCAATTGGATTGTCCGTTCAAACATTTTGAACCTAATAAATCCATCGATTGGCCGATTATATAAATATATGATTTGAGTTTATTATAATGTATATATTTTTAATATTTTTGATTTAAATATTATATTTTTTTAAGTATTAAATATTATTACAGACTTTATATTAATATTTTTAAATTAAATTTTAAGTAATATAGAATCAAGATATTTTATATTTAAATTACATATTATTAATAATTTTAAAATAATATTATTAAACTTAGTTATATACAATTATAAAATAATATTCAAGATTAATTTATAGAAATTATATAAAATTTCAAACTGTAATTGATACATATTTTAATGTTTTGTATATACAGCTATTTATACTTTATATATAATAAATTTTATAATTTTATTACACCATAATTACATATTTATTTTTATATTACATATTGTATTTAAATTTTATTCGTATATATATATAATAATAATAATTAATGACATTCAATTGATTAACAAATAAAAATTTAATACAGCAAAATCTTTTTATTAATCTTTTTAAAAATTTTTATTATATTTAATATAAAGACAAAATAAACAAAACAAAAAATAATCCTATAGAATTTCAGTTAAAATTAAAAATTATAAATAATTATTAGATTATAATTTTAAATATATACCTTAAATTACAGTTTTCTAGTGTCATTACTAGAAAATAATTTTTTCAAAAACATGTCATTTATATAAAACGTAAAATTTAATTATAATTACAGTCTATAAGTCAATTAAATTAAATTATGTTACAAATTAATAATAAATATTCTATTTAAGTTTATTTTAAAAAATTTAATTAAGATATAATTATGATTTTATAAAATGTGAAACTTATTGACCAATAGTTATATATGATTAATAATAATTAAAACTGACCATTTATTAAAAAAGCTTATAAATAGTATTTATTATTTAATATCATTTATAAAAATTTTAACAAAATTGAAGATTGTAATCATAAACAGTAATATATATATAAATTAAATATTTTCAATACATTAAATACAAAAATAATTTAACTAAATATAATTTTTTCAAAAAATAATTAAAGCAATACTTTCATTTAAAAATTATTTATTTTGTATTAATATAAGAAAATTAATAATTATGTATTAAAATAAATATTAAAATAAAAATTTTAAAAAACGTTTTATATATATTTAACACTAAAGACGTTTGTTGTTACAGTCTTTAAAGTAATTTAATTTAATTACTAGAGCATTTATTTCACATATAACTTATATTTTTAGTGATTAAAGATATTAACAAAATAATTAGATATATAAACAATTGATTGAAAACTAATAATTATAGCAAAAGTTTTAGTCACATAAACACATATAACAACATATTTCAAAAGGTAGTCACATATTATCAAATATAAGCACATATTTCGCATATTACTCTAAAATATTAGAAAATATTAGTTAAAATATATTTTTTCTTATGTTTTTCTAGTATATTTATTATTGTTTGCAATATTTTAAAATAAATTAGCAATTTATGTTTATGCAATGTATTATACATTATTACTATTTGTTAATTTTAGACAAATACTGTAACATAATATTTATATGTTTTCTAAATTCTACTAATTTCTAATGTCTACTAAAAGACAATAAGATTTTAATTTATACTAAGAGTTTAAAAGTTGTATAATTTTAATTTATGTATTTAAGTATTAATTAAAAAAACTAAAATATTAATTTTTCATTAATTGTAACACAATTTTTAATTTCTTATTAATTATAACCACATATTTTGACTATTTTAACAAAATATAATCACATATTTTCATGTTTATAAGCAAATATTTCATTCAATAAAACACAAATTTTAGTCACATATATCTAAAGTCACTATTAATTACTTAATAAATCAAGTATTTATTACTAATTATATTTAAATCAGTTAAATTCAAACAATATTAAATTAATTTTTTTTAAATTTTTTAATAATTAAAGTTAACCAATTTAAGTAAGATAAAAATAATATTTAATATTTATAATAAAATAATTAATATTAAATAAAATACATATAAAAATGTATATTATACTTTTTAGTTAATAAAATAATTTAATTTAATTAAACATATAGACATTAATTAAAAACAAAATTAGTGTTTTTGATAACTCAACAATTAATTAATAATATTTATAACTTTAAACAACCAATGTAATTTTATTAGACTATTAATGTCAACAATTAGACAGATTAATACTTATTATTATTATTTTTATTATTATTAACTTTTATCAATTTTTAAACAATTATAATAGAATTACTTTTTTCTATTACTAATTAATATATAGAAGTTAAACAACTATTATGAAATAATACTGTATCATTTTTTAAAAATAAGTCTATTAATACTATCATCTAATAAGTAATAAGAAAAACAAATATGTACTTAAATATCAGTTTAAGAATTATATAATATTCAAAGTTTAAATTTACCATTATTATATTAAAATTGAAATATAAAATTGAAAATAAACTATAAATCATTTACAAATTAAGATTATTAAATTAAAAAAAATAATTATACTGAATATTCTTATAAAAACTACAAAGTATTTATTTAATTTAAATTTATCAATATTTATAATTTAAAATTTTTTATATCCATATTATTATCAGGGTTTTATGATTTTTACTGTATATGCAATTCATAATATATTATACCATATAATATACAAATTATTTAAATTTATTAGCAAGATAATTTTTTATATCCATATTATTATCAGGGTCTTTATGATTTTTACTGTATATGCAATTCATAATATATTATATCATATAATATACAAATTATTTAAATTTATTAGCAAGATAATTTTTTATATCCATATTATTATCAGGGTCTTTATGATTTTTACTGTATATGCAATTCATAATATATTATACCATATAATATACAAATTATTTAAATTTATTAGCAAGATAATTTTTTATATCCATATTATTATCAGGATCTTTTACTATATATGCAATTCATACGTTTCAGTACGTCGGGTCAGTCAGCCAATCAGTACGTCGGGTCAGTCAGCCAATCAGTACGTCGGGTCAGTCGGCCAATCAGTACGTCGGGTCAGTCGGCCAATCAGTACGTCGGGTCAGTCAGCCAATCAGTACGTCGGGTCAGTCAGCCAATCAGTACGTCGGGTCAGTCAGCCAATCACTACGTCGGGTCAGTCAGCCAATCAGTACGTCGGTCAGTCGGCCAATCAGTACATCGGGTCAGTCGGCCAATCAGTACATCGGGTCAGTCGGCCAATCAGTCAGTCAATCAGTATGTCGGGTCAGTCAGCCAATCAGTAAGTCAATCAGTACCTCGGGTCATTCGGCCAATCAGTCAGTCAATCAGTACCTCGGGTCAGTCAGTCAATCAGTACGTCGGGTCAGTCGGCCAATCAGTACGTCGGGTCAGTCAGCCAATCAGTACGTCGGGTCAGTCAGCCAATCACTACGTCGGGTCAGTCAGCCAATCACTACGTCGGGTCAGTCAGCCAATCAGTACGTCGGTCAGTCGGCCAATCAGTACATCGGGTCAGTCGGCCAATCAGTACATCGGGTCAGTCGGCCAATCAGTCAGTCAATCAGTATGTCGGGTCAGTCAGCCAATCAGTAAGTCAATCAGTACGTCGGGTCAGTCGGCCAATCAGTACGTCGGGTCAGTCAGCCAATCAGTCAGCCAATCAGTACGTCGGGTCAGTCGGCCAATCAGTACGTCGGGTCAGTCAGTCAATCAGTACCTCGGGTCAGTCAGTCAATCAGTACGTCGGGTCAGTCGGCCAATCAGTACGTCGGGTCAGTCAGCCAATCAGTCAGCCAATCAGTACGTCGGGTCAGTCGGCCAATCAGTACGTCGGGTCAGTCAGTCAATCAGTCAGTCAATCAGTACGTCGGTCAGTCGGCCAATCAGTACGTCGGGTCAGTCAGTCAATCAGTCAGTCAATCAGTACGTCGGGTCAGTCAGCCAATCAGTACGTCGGGTCAGTCGGCCAATCAGTACGTCGGGTCAGTCGGCCAATCAGTACGTCGGGTCAGTCAGCCAATCAGTACGTCGGGTCAGTCAGCCAATCAGTACGTCGGGTCAGTCAGCCAATCACTACGTCGGGTCAGTCAGCCAATCAGTACGTCGGTCAGTCGGCCAATCAGTACATCGGGTCAGTCGGCCAATCAGTACATCGAGTCAGTCGGCCAATCAGTCAGTCAATCAGTATGTCGGGTCAGTCAGCCAATCAGTAAGTCAATCAGTACCTCGGGTCATTCGGCCAATCAGTCAGTCAATCAGTACCTCGGGTCAGTCAGTCAATCAGTACGTCGGGTCAGTCGGCCAATCAGTACGTCGGGTCAGTCAGCCAATCAGTACGTCGGGTCAGTCAGCCAATCACTACGTCGGGTCAGTCAGCCAATCACTACGTCGGGTCAGTCAGCCAATCAGTACGTCGGTCAGTCGGCCAATCAGTACATCGGGTCAGTCGGCCAATCAGTACATCGGGTCAGTCGGCCAATCAGTCAGTCAATCAGTATGTCGGGTCAGTCAGCCAATCAGTAAGTCAATCAGTACCTCGGGTCATTCGGCCAATCAGTCAGTCAATCAGTACGTCGGGTCAGTCGGCCAATCAGTACGTCGGGTCAGTCAGCCAATCAGTCAGCCAATCAGTACGTCGGGTCAGTCGGCCAATCAGTACGTCGGGTCAGTCAGTCAATCAGTACGTCGGGTCAGTCGGCCAATCAGTACGTCGGGTCAGTCAGTCAATCAGTACGTCGGGTCAGTCAGTCAATCAGTACGTCGGGTCAGTCGGCCAATCAGTACGTCGGGTCAGTCAGCCAATCAGTCAGCCAATCAGTACGTCGGGTCAGTCAGTCAATCAGTCAGTCAATCAGTACGTCGGGTCAGTCGGCCAATCAGTACGTCGGGTCAGTCAGTCAATCAGTCAGTCAATCAGTACGTCGGGTCAGTCAGTCAATCAGTCAGTCAATCAGTACGTCGGGTCAGTCGGCCAATCAGTACAATCAGTACGTCGGGTCAGTCAGCCAATCAGTACGTCGGGTCAGTCAGCCAATCAGTACGTCGGGTCAGTCAGCCAATCAGTACGTCGGGTCAGTCAGCCAATCAGTACGTCGGGTCAGTCAGCCAATCAGTACGTCGGGTCAGTCAGCCAATCAGTACGTCGGGTCAGTCAGCCAATCAGTACGTCGGGTCAGTCAGCCAATCAGTACGTCGGGTCAGTCAGCCAATCAGTACGTCGGGTCAGTCAGCCAATCAGTACGTCGGGTCAGTCAGCAGTTTTACTGTATATGAAATTCATAATATACTATACCATATAATATAAATATTATTCAAATTGATTAGCAAGATAATTTTTTATATCCATAATAGTATCAGGGTCTTTATGATTTTTACTGTAAATGAAATTCATAACATATTACATAATATATCAATAATCTATGTTTACATTTTATTAATTTTTATTTAAAATCAATAAACATTATTTTTTATTATTTTAATTTTGAACTGTATCTAAATAATAAATATTTTATTTAATCTACAAATTAAATTATACAAATTAAAGGTTAAATTATCATATTTTTAATCGATATTATTTTTTAATTTAGTGATATTTTATACATATTACTAAATTCATTTAAAAAAATACTAATAAAATAACAAGCTTGTATTAAAATGGATTAACAATAAACTAATAATAATTTAAATAATTTATTAATTTTATACTTTTATTCTACAAAAAATTTGAATAATATAATGATATAAGCTCCGAAACAATGAAAAATTATATTAAAATTATACTGAAATATATTTATATTTATTAATTTATTTATATTATTTAACTAATGTTATGAAATATTATAATAAAAAATTAATTGTTGATTTGTTGAAATTTTTACTACAAATAATATTAAATTTAAAACTATATAAAACTAAATTAAAAAACGAATGAAAACTTAATGTATCTAATATATAATAAAACATTAAAAACATTTAAACTATAAATTAGAATATATATATAATTACAGTTTTTTTTAAATAAATAATTTATTTAAATTAAATACAATAAATAAATCAAAATCAAAATCAAATATAACTTATTTATTAGTTATTATTTCTAATTAAAAAACTTTGGACAATATAATTAATTATTTTAAAATTTTTCTAATAAAATTTTAAAATTAAATCTATATAAAACAAAAGAATATATAAAAATGTAAAAAATTAATAACTTTTTTAATACGTAATTTTATTTTATTAATAATTTAAAAACTATGATAAATATTAAACATTTAGTTAAAAATGACAAATAACCATTGGTTACAATTGGTCTAACCAATAACTAGTTATAAGTTATAATTATTTTATTATAAATTAAAATAAAATATACTAATATTAATTATAAAATAATATTGAAGATTTATTAATAATAATTATATAAAAATTTTAAAATTTTTGTTAATTAAAAGCTGTAATTGAAACATATTTAAGTGTTTTGTATATACACTTATCTTAACTATTTATTTTATTATATTTATGTAGTTTTTGTTAATTAAAAATTGTAATTTAAATCTAATTAGTTGTTTTGTATTGTATTTTTCAAAAATTACTATTATCATATTATAACATAGTGTATAAATATATTTAAAATGTAAAAATACTTAATGTTTAATATATATCTAGTTTTTTTACATTTTGTATATATATAAGGTTTGTTAAATTTAATTTTGTTATTATATATATATTTAAAAAATATCTTTATTATATAAATTCATCAAGATAATATCTATAATTAAATTTTCATTTATTATTAAATATGTTTAAATAACTAAAAATTTATAGCAAATAAATAAGTGGGATATAATATACAAATAAAAATACTAAAAATAATAGATTAGTATGTTTAAATTAAAGAATTATTTAAAAATACAAGAATATATCCACAAAAAAAAATTAAAATTACCAAATTAAATGTTATAAATTAATAAAAAAAAGTTATTGTAATAATAATATTGAAATATATATAACTTATAAAACTTATAATAACTTAACGATTTATCTTAAAAAACTATATTAACCAATCAATTGACTTGTTAGCAACAATATGCTTAAAGGGACAATTTTTCAAATCATTGCAAGCATTTTTACGCCATTGACAACATTCATTGTTGGTAACATATTGTTGAGTCGTAACAAAATACTTGAGCTCTTTTTGAAAAGTTGATGGTGTCAAATAAATCTGTAATCTCATTGGTTCACCATTCATATCATTAATACAGATGTCTGATAAACGTGATCCTTGAAGATTAATGATTGCATTTATTGGTGACTTGTGGTTATTGTAGTTTATCACTAATGTATTTGCTATGCTTAATATTTGATAGACTGATTCAATGTCTCCGAATCGACCGAAATATCTGCGAATAATCGATTTGTTGCCACTGTTGACATTCACTAATCTAATAGCATTGTAGCGCCAGATATTTGTTGGCACATCACATGAATTGCTTATAACTTCTGTTTCCATTGATAATAGTTCTGCTGTACTGATATTATTTGCTGAAATAATTTTTTTTAAATATATTAATTTAAATTAGTTTTTTTGTATTAATAATTTTTTATATACATCTACGTGTCCTTATATTATATTCGATAACAGGTGTGGCAAATGTAAATTTTGCATTTATAATAGTTTCAAAAATTTTGGTTAAGCACCGATTTATGCAATTAAATTGATTGTCACTTTGGTTGCCAAAAATAAGAAAAATCCTTTCAAACATCGGTAAATTAGACAATAATATTGTCTCATGTGGCTTAGGACTATCTACCAAATTGACTTTCAATGGATCAAATATGAAGTCTACATAATATTAAATAAAATAATTTAGACATAAATTAAAATGTAATTACAATTATTAAAAAAAAATATTTCTAACATTTGCGACAACAACCAGACCGAATGACCACAAACAGAGAACAGTGTGAATTTAGTTCAGTTATAGTTGAGAGATCTCTCTGTCCCACTCCGACTCGGTCCGTCCAATACTTTTGGCTAATAACTAGAAATATTGTAATTGTAGCGTTGTTTTTGTTCACTATATTCCTAATTATTGTCTTATTTTTCTTCAAAATGAAGCGATTGGTATATTTCGGATACATTTGAACAAATTTTTGATGGTGTTGGGATAATGGACAACCGATTATTTTAGTACTAATATAAATGTTGTTCAATGGTTTGGCCAATAAGTTGAGATAATTGATTACGTTTTCGATCGAATCCAATTCTAAACATTGAATCTCATTAAAATCGTTTCTATTAATATTAATTTATTGTAAAAATTGAAAAATACATTAATTAGTTTTTTTATTATAGCTAAATTAAATATTACCCTGTTATGACGTCATTTAATTTGTTATTAATTAATATTTGTTTAAATTGCACAAATGTCATGTTTTAAATGGTATAAATAGCATATAGATATGTAATCAAAACAAAATTAAATTAATAACGACTTTAAACACAAATGTTTAGTAAATATATTTATAATTAATTTTTTAAAAATTTTCATTTTACATTTCTCGTGAATGTAATAATTAAATTTATTACATTAGATGTCACGCTCTTAATAAGTAGTAATTAATTGTTTTATTTGTTTTAAATCATTTTCAGCGTAAATTTACAAAATATTGTAAATAATTTTAGTGGGGGTGGGCAAGGGTGGGGTGTAAATTTTTATTGCTATTATAAATGGTTTATTTAAATATATAATAATATATTAATGAATTATTATTATAAATTACAGTTATTTTATATATTTAAAATTATTAAAATAAATATATGTGAAATTACAGTTTTAAAAAAATTTTTGGGGAAGACTAATGTGTGGTCAACTTAAAAAATTTTATAAAATTTGGAAGGGGGTCTAAATTGGGGATAACATACAAAATTGTTTTATTTTTAATAAAATATTTAACTTAATTTATAAAAATTTCTATTAATTTTTTTAGAGGGGGACAAGTGGTGTAGTCTATTAAATTTTTAAACGGTAATTTTATAAGTATAGTATTTATGTATATAATACTTAAATTTTAACTGTTTGGCCAAATCATTTGGCCGAAATTTCAAGAAAATTTGTTAATTGTATACAAAAAAGATAATTTTATTTAAAACTTATTGATCCTAATAAATTTAAATAAAGGATAATTTACAAATAAACTAAACTATATTAGAATATTAAAATTTTTTAAATACTATTTTATAATTAATCTATAATAAGCTAGGATAAAAAATTAAATTGTTTGTAGTTTTGATTTTTACATTATTGATTTAGATATATATATATATATATATAATATATAATTGTTATTTATATAATAAAATTATAAATGACAGCTAGTATAAATTTTTAAAATATAAAACTGTAATTAATGTTATATTAATATTTATTTTAAATATTTTTTATAAAAATAGATATGTCTGTGTAAAATTGTTTTTAATTTTTAAATAAAAAAACCGTAATTTGTATTGATAAATATAATTTCATTATATTTATTATATATAAATAAATTAGTATAGTAATCTGACATTGATAATTTTTAGATTATATAATAAAGTTTATATACTATAAAAATCAAAGAGAACCTGTTTTTAATTTTACAATAATAAAGTATCTTGCTAACAAATTAATTTAATTTTCATTACATATTGTAGAGTAAATAATAAAGTTTATATACTATAAAAATCAAAGTGACCCTGTTTGTAATTTTACAATAATAAAGTATCTTGCTAACAAATTAATTTAATTTTCATTACATATTGTAGATTATATAATAAAGTTTATATACTATAAAAATCAAAGAGACCCTGTTTGTAATTTTACAATAATAAAGTATCTTGCTAACAAATTAATTTAATTTTCATTACATATTGTAGAGTAAATAATAAAGTTTATATACTATAAAAATCAAAGAGACCCTGTTTGTAATTTTACAATAATAAATTATCTTGCTAACAAATTAATTTAATTTTCATTACATATTGTAGAGTAAATAATAAAGTTTATATATTATAAAAATCAAAGAGAACCTGTTTTTAATTTTACAATTATAAAGTATCTTGCTAACAAATTAATTTAATTTTCATTACATATTGTAGAGTAAATAATAAAGTTTATATATTATAAAAATCAAAGAGAACCTGTTTTTAATTTTACAATTATAAAGTATCTTGCTAACAAATTAATTTAATTTTCATTACATATTGTAGAGTAAATAATAAAGTTTATATATTATAAAAATCAAAGAGAACCTGTTTTTAATTTTACAATAATAAAGTATCTTGCTAACAAATTAATTTAATTTTCATTACATATTGTAGATTATATAATAAAGTTTATATACTATAAAAATCAAAGAGACCGTGTTTGTAATTTTACAATAATAAAGTATCTTGCTAACAAATTAATTTAATTTTCATTACATATTGTATAGTAAATAATAGAGAACTATGGATGTTAAAAATAATTCAAAAGTTTTAGATAATTTTTAATTTTTTTAAATAAATTATTAAAAAAATAAATATATAATTTATGTTCTATTATTTAATTTATATTGAAATAATGATTGCATAATCTAAAATTATTTGCATTTCATTACATTTTTCATGTAAAGTTTGTAAATACTTGTAAAACTTTCTTATAACCGTTCGATGTCTGTTGATATTATTGAGACGCCATTCATGGCTATACTCAAAGTATTCCTCATTCAATGGTTTAGCTGTTGCTTCGAAGACCATTATACAATATTTCAATATAAAATTGATGAGTTCTGGCAATCGATCTCGTATATTTATATCGCTTAGGATATTAAAGACATTGTACGCCATCTTATCCGTTAAAAAGTATATTCGACAATCCATATCTCTAGTGTGTAGGCAAATAGGCATACATTGATTGCCTGTCGTATTGGATGAGTCGATAGTTCTGCTGGTGGTATTTATGGTATTATAGCTTTCATCCAATGGTCCAAAACCAAGTGATCGAAGCGGACGATAGTGCGGAGGTTGGGATATATAACCAAAATAATTATTATTAGACGAGCGAAAAAATTTGATAGAGTTGTCGAAACTGAATTCAAATTTATGACTAGTTATTATTAGCTCATCAGATTCTTCCGTTTCAACCTCTATAAACATAGCATCATCTGTATTCAATTTGATCTTTTGTACAAAATAGTCTGAATCTTTTTCATCGATTACTACTGAGCGATATTTGTTAATGATTATACCAGCCATAGTGGTAGCCAATTCTAGATATTCTTCATTTATATCATCAATTTTATCCTCCATCATATCAAGTTTATCGTAAAGCAAATGATCGTCTTGATCGATAAATTCAATTGTGTTTATAGAAGTAACTGTCCAATTATGTTGTGATTGTAGGCGTCTTGTTTGCTTATTGTAATCTAGTATTACTCCGTAT